GAGCTCCCGGCATGCAGGGCTCCAGCCTGTGATTCACAAGTGCTTGGGAGGTTCCTGGTGCAGGTGCGTGGGTGACATGGGGCTCATGAGGGCCTCTGGCAAGAGCAAGTGCAGAGGGACAGTGGGCTCCAGTGCCAGAAGCCACCCAGGCACGCATGGTAGAGGTTGCCAAAAGCATTGCGTCAGGGTCTGGGGGGTCACAGGGCTCTGTCCCCTGTGTCCTCTCTGCCCATGCAGGCAGGGCGACAGCCTTGCCTTGGCCCCGTGTGCCGCTCTCCTCTCCGGGTCCCTGCTGCACACCATCAGCGCAGCAGCCAGCTTTTGGGCTCAGGGTTTATTGCCTTCTCAGGAGGTCTCAGGGTGCTGTGGTCCTCTGTGTGGGAGGCCAGGGCTATCTTGTGCGGGTGTGGGAAGCCCAGCGTGACATGCTGAACATCAGGCACGAGCTGTCCTCAGGCACTGCCCGACTCGCCACAGGCCCCGAGGCCCCTCCGGCTGGGCCAGGACAAGAGGGCTCGGGCTGGTTCCCTGCAGGCAGCCGTGAGCACGGGCAGTGTGGGGACGTGGGTGGGAGGGGAAGGGGATGCTTCTCCTGTGGCACCCTGTGATCAGCAGTCAGGGCCCGCAGAGGCAGCTCCGTGCATAGCCCAAACTTCCAGGGTGTCCTGCCCAGTCCCCTTGAGGCCTGTGCCAGCCCGTATGTCACACACTGCCAGGCAAGACCAAGGGGTCTGTGAGGCCCCGGCCAAATGGTAAGCTCCCCATCCCCGTGCAAGCTTTGAGCATTGCATGGTGCCCCAAGTCCCTGGAGCTCTGGCTCCTCCCGGCCTTTCCTTGGAAGCCCGGGGGAAGCAGCGCGGGGCCCGTCTTGCCCTCATCCCCTTGCTGGGGACATGGTGCGGGAGAGCTGCTCTGTATGTTCTGTAGCTAGATCCCTTGCCAAACTGTGCCAGGAAAGGGGATTCCCTGCTCCATCCCCCGGCATGCCCTGCGAGGCCACCCCCTGCTCTGCTAATGCCTTCCCATCTTGTTGGTACAGGGAAATGCCAGAAGCCCCAGTGGGACTCCAGATTTATCTTTGACCCAGATCGAGGGCTCTACACCCCAAATGAGGTGGTGAAGATGAGATGCGCCGAAGGGTACTGGTCTTCTGCTGTGGAGATCACCTGCGTGAAGCTGTACCCACGTCAAGGCTCCTCCATTTCTCACAGTGGCTGGATTGTGAGGAAAGACACGGGCCACTGGCACCGTATAGAGGGGAACATGACCTGTGTGGGTAAGTGAGCAAACCAGTCCCTTCCTCAGTGCTCGCAGTCTGTTGGCCCAGGCAGAGAGAGCGGTGCCGGATTTGTCCCTCAGCACTGGTGCCCTGTGCTCGGGGTGGTCGGGGCATGGCGTGGCATGTTGGCTAAGTCATTGCTGGTGTGAAAGGGACAAGGCACCAGATCAGTTGCTAGCCCCAGGGTGGCAGCTGCAGAGAGGCCCCAAGTACTTGCTCTTACCCTCCCACAGTGCAGGCAGTGCCTGAGTTCTGGCTGGGAGCAGCCAGCACGGCCTCATCCCCCTGGTGCTGTGGGCAGGCTGGTGGGGGAACCATGAGGATGATGGAGGTTGGCTGCAGGGCTGGGAGGGGAAGGGAAGGAAGTGACCATCTTGTGATGTTTCCTTCACAGAGGACTTCCAGGTTGTCCCCGGGACCTTGGAGATTTCCAGCACCAGCATCAAACTGAACTGGACCTGCAAGCTCCCTGACGTCTGCCAGCGCATGCGGGCCATGTGCCGCCTGGCAGTGCCTTCCTCCCCTCCCTGTAAGGCTGAGGAAGTGAAGGGAGAGGAAATACTACATGGTGGGGAGGGAACATTTACTTGTCCCCCTCTGCAGCCCTTCACTGTCTACAGTTTCACCATCTCCCTGCCCCCCAACATGGTCCTGTACACACAGCTCCTCACGACAAAGGAATCGGGTATGTGTTCACCTGCATGAAATGTAAAGGTGCCCTTTGTCCAAGCATCCGCTCCCTGCAGTGATGGTCCTGGCATCAGGACTGCTCAGAGCCTGTGAGGCTGCGCAGGGCCCTGGAGCACAGCACGTCCCCTCCTCACTCTCCCCCTCCTCTCCACACCATTGCTGCTCCTGCTGCTGCAGCACATGCAGCCTTTGTGGGGGACAAACCCTGCTTGGGCGGGCCCTTTGCAGCCTGTCCCCTGGGCCAGGAGCTGCCTGAACCCTGCTCTGG